GCACACACAGATCATTCTCCAGGTTAGACCACTAACTGGGCCACAAGACATACATCAACAGATACATGAAGATGGAATCATACCAACCTTGACCATAAAGGCATCAAATTATAAACAAACACAAAAAGAAAGCAAGGAACCCTTCCATTTTATTGAGATTGACCACACATTGCTGGACAACCACTGTATTAGTGAGGAACTCAAAGAAGAAATTACCTTGAGATGAATGACTCAGGACACAACTTTCCAGAATATACAGGACACAGGAAAAGCAGTCATAGGGCCCTGAACTCAAAGAAGAAATTACCTTGAGATGAATGACTCAGGATACAACTTTCCAGACTATACAGGACACAGGAAAAGCAGTCATAGGGCCCTCCCTTGTGGCACAAGGGGTTAAAGCACAACACTATGAAGCTATCCCCAGCCACTACAGTGTGAGTTCGATCCCTGGCCAAAAGGTGACCCACATGGTGTGGCAAACCTCTCCTGTCTCACCCGCTGCTCTCTTTGGCAGTGTATTTTAGTAGATCTGCCTGTTCTCCTTCCCACTCTGACTCTGGTGAATCTGCTCACCCCCTGCACTTCTGGCCTGTACCTGAGTTCTTGTATGCATAAAGAAATAAATCTTGAAAAAAGCAATAATAACAGGAAAGTATATAGCAATAAAGGCCTACATCAAGAAACAAGAAAGAACACAAAGAAAAACAACCTAATCTCCCATCTCAAAAAAATTAGGAAAATAAACCACAAGTCAGTAGAAGAAAGGAAATAATAAAAATTTAAGCAGAAATAAATGAAATAGAAATAAGAAGTCCAAAAGATCAATGAAACCAAAAGCTGGTTCTTAGAAAAAGTAAAATAGACAAACCTCTAGTAAGACTCACAAAGAAAGAAGGGAGAAACCTCAAATACATAGGATCATAAATGAAAAAAGAGAAATTACAATAGACAAAGTATGGATATTTATATGTAAATAAGTTCAACAATCTAGAAGAGATGGACAAATTCTTAAAACGATAATAATCATCCAAACTGGATAAAGAAGAAATAGAGACCTAAACAAACTACAAGCAGCAAAACTGAAACAGTAATCAAAACCCTTCCCCAAAACAAAAGCCTAGGACCAGCTGTTTCCCAAATGAGTTCTACCAAATGTTCAAAGATGAACTGATACTTACCTTTCAAAAAATCGAAAAAGAAGGAATACTACTAAACATATTTTATGAAGCCAACATTACACTAATATGAACAACAAACAAACATCACACACACACACACACACACACACACGCCCCCACAAAGGTCATTCTCCCTAATGAACATAGATACAAAAAAAAAAAAAAAAAAAAAACGCAACGAAATCCTAGCAAATAAAATCCAACAATGCATCAAAAGGATAATACAACATGATCAAGTGGGATTTATTCTTGGGGCACAAGGATGGTTCAACACCTGAAAATCAATTAATATAAGTCTGTGGGTCTGGTACTCCTAAGCAGCCTGTTCGACCACCATTTTGTTACCTGCAGTTCTGCATTTCTATACAAGCTCAGAACTGTTTGGTTAATCAGTCATAGCCAAACTTTACAAGGTGCCTTTCAAATCAATCAAGAGCAGAAAGCATGATCACCCTGGGAAGGATATAAATTTTGAGGGCAGACTGGGATGGGAGGGGAAGAGTGCTGAGGACCAATGCATAAATTTACTCCCCATTTTTACATCAGGAGATAGGACCAGAAACACCCTGGGGGCAGAGAACCAAATACAACAAGGGACCCCAGAAGCTGATCAGCTGAATGTCTTGTTGATAAGATTGAAAACCTGGCTGGGGATCCAGGACTTTACCTCAGTTACAATACCAACTCATCAAGCAGATGAGAGGTGCCTGGAGGGCAGACTCACAACCCCTGATACTATAGACGGCAGCACACATTTTCTAGTGTTACCCCACCCTGTTCTTTTTGTCCTCCTTATCCTCACAACTGTATAATTATTCTATCAATAAAAAAAGGCTAGGATCTTGCTCTTCTTCAGTGTCCTGCATCCTACAGCTTGCTCCATGACTCCTGTTTATCAGTGAGCTGTTATCAATACAACAGAAGTCAACACATCAAAAATAAAAATTAAAATGTGATAATAGGTACTAAGAAAGCATTTTATAAAGTTCAACATAGATTTGTGTGAAGGTCATTGAAATTATTGTGAAAGAAGAAACATACCTTAACAAAATAAAAGTCATTTGTGACAAACCCACAGCCAATATCATTCCTACTGGTGAAAAACTGAACACCTTTCCCAGATATGGAACAATACAAGGATATCACCAATGCTTTTCAATATAATAGTGGAAGTCCTAGCTAGAGCAATAAGGCAAGAGAAAGACATACAAGTAATCAAAATAGGAAAGAAGTAAAACTATCACTATTTGTAATGGTATGATAATAGAGAGAACCCAAAAAATGCACCAGAAAAACTAACCAACAAATTAATTTAGCAAAGTAGCAGGATGCAAAATCAATACACAAAAATCAGAGTCTTCCTATAGGCAAACAGTCTGCAAAGGAAGAAATTAAGAAAACCATCCCATTTACAATTGTACCCCACCAAAAGGAGAAAATTAAATACATGGGAATAAGCCTAACAAAGGAAGTGAAAGATGTATACAATAAAAACTATGAAACATTGTTAAAAGAAATAAAAGACACAGAAATGGAAAGCCATTCCCTGTTCATGGATTAGAAGAATTACCATTACCAAATGACTATCCTACCAAAAGCAATTTATAAATTCAATGTAATTCCAATAAAAAATCTCTATGGTATTCTTGAACAAAGAGAACACTGCTGAAATACATATGGAATCATAAAACCTCAAATACACAAAGCTTTCCTGACTAAAAAGAGGGAGAATGGAGGTATTATACTCCCAGACTTTAAACTATACTACAAAGTTGTAATAATTAAAACAGCCTACCACTGAAGCAAAAACAGACATACAGACCAGTGGAAACTAACTGAAAACCTAGAAATAAGGCTACACATAGACACACACAGAGCAATGGAACAAAGATCATCTCTTCAATAGAGGGTACTGGGAAAACTGGACTGCTATATGCAAAAAAAAAAAAAAAAACACAAAAAACTAGACTACCATCCTACTTCATACACAAAATCCAACTCAAAATGGAGAAAACTCTTGAATATAAGACCTGAAACCATAGATAAATAGAAAAAAACATAGGCAAAACACTCAAGGACCTCTGAATCATCTTTGATTTATATCCAGAGCAAAGGAAATGAAGAAGAATATAAACAGTTGGGACTACATAAAAAACAAAACAAAACAAGAATAAAGCACTTCTATACAGAAAAAGAAACAATAACCAAATGAAGACACAACCTATTATTGAGAGAAAATATTTGTACTCTATTACAACTGATAAAGGACTGATTTCAAAGAGCTCTCATGAATAAACAAAAACAAACATTCCAGTCAAAAAAATGGGCAGAAGAGCTAAAAAGACAGTTCCCCAAAGAGTAAATATAAATGACCAATAGGTATATGAAAAAAAAAGCTCAGCATCACTTATAGTCAAGGAAATGCAAATCAAAAGCACAATGAAATACCACCTCATACCAGTGAGAATGACCCATATTAAAAAATAACCAACAATGCCTGGAAACAAAAAGTGCTAGTGAGGATGTGGAAAAAAAGAAACTCTTACACTGCTGGTGGGAATGCAAACTGGCCCAATCACTGTGAAAAGCTGTATGCAAGACATTCAAATTACTGAAAATGCAGCTACCATCTGACCCTACAATTCCACTCCAAGGATTCTACCCAAAGGACACAAAAACATTAATTCTAAAGGAATCCTGGGGTCCAATGTTTATTACAGCACCATTTACAATAGTTAAGCTATGGAAACAACCTAAGTACCCAAAACAGATAACTGGAACAAAAAGATGTGGTATATGTATACAATGGAGTGTTACTCAGCATTCAAAAAGATAAACTCATGCAACTTGCAACATCATGGCACTAGAAAGGATTATGTTCAGTAAAATAAACCTGAAAGAAAAATATTGATAGTTTCACTTATAGCAGGAATGCAGGGAAACTGAACAAAGGACTGGGGGTAGGGTGAAGATAAAATTAGAAGGCAAGTTAAAGATCTGATATAGAGCAGAGGAGGGGGAGAATGGAGGTCAAAATAGGGTAGGGAAGAGCACAAGGACTATGGTATCGGTTCCAAGGTGAGGTGGTGATGGGACCTTTATGGGGATTACACCTGAGGGGACAAATCAGATATTGTACAAAAATGAACAACATGCAAGAAAATAAGAAAGAAATATGTATGTGGGAGGAAGACTGGACACATGGATTCATGTGTGAGAAATCAAGTTCAGACAATGTTCGAATCTAAGTGGGTATGTGCATGTTGATAGTAAAATTTTTCTTTCCTATACATTACAATATTTTTGTAATTTAAAAAAGGCTAAAATTGCAAATACCATATGGTTAGCAATTCCAGTCTTGGGCATCTATCCAAAGAATATAAACCCAGCAACACACAAAATACACCGCTAAAACGTTTACTGCTGCACTATTTTCAATAGCTAGGACTAGGATGCAGCCTAAATAGACAAGTAGATCAAGATATGCGGTAAATCAATCACATTATGGAATGCTAGTTAGCCACTTACAGCATAATGCAGGGCGGTCAAGGGAATTATTTGCAATACAGGAAGTTACACTGACAAAAGCTAATACTGGACATATACTCTTTTCTTATATCAGTAAGCAATAAATTGGAGATTGAGGGAATTTGTCTTTAGCTCCTCCAAAGTATCAGACGTGTAGAATAAAAAAACAAACAGCTTTTAAATAAATTAGTTACAAGTACACTGGATGACTTCATTCTACCTTCCCAACATGTTTATCCAAAAGGTAACATATCAGCTTCAAAAAACAGCAACATGAAAACATTTTCTTACCTATCTGAATATATGTCACTGTCATCTTTCCTAAATCTCTGAAATATTTTAGGAAAACCTGTTGAATGAAACATTAAGAAACTTGGCCACTTCCTCTAAACCAGTATTCTCAGGCCAATTTTGTGTCCCAGGAGCTATTTGGGAAAATTTGAAGACATTTTTTCATTGTTAAGAAGGGGTATAGGGGCTAAATGACATAGCCCGGGGTTGAGGCATTCCCCCCACCCCTAAGTCATGCACCACCCCAAGAAAGAATGAATCGTAATGTCATAATCGGGAGGTTGAGATTCCCACTCTAAATAACTGCTCTGTTATTTAAGGAAGAGAGTGAAGTAGTTTCAGTACAGAAGTTAAATACAAAATGAGTTGTGTTTTGCAGGATGGTCTTCCTAGCATTGCAACCTTAA